CACACACACACACACACACACACACACACACACACACACACACACACCCCATGACGAGTTCCCTTTCAGGACCTCATGGAACCATTTCCATCCATGACAAACATTCAAGGGCTCAAATTTCAAAGAGAAAATGCACAAATTTAATAGGAAACAATTAATCTAGCTCATCAACCCAGATTATATTTTGTTGTTGTTGTTGTTGTTATTCCCTGAGAAATTTTGATTTCAGTGTAATAAGAAATATTAGAAAGGTGACCTTTCAGGTCACAAGACCTTGTCATATCCATCCCTCAAATTCGAGGGTACCTATCCATGTTATAGTTGTGTACAGTGACACACTTGTTTAGGATGGAGTCTAGAAGATCTGCTCCAAAGTGTCTTCTAGATTCTCCTGACATATACAACATGTATGGCCATATTTCCTTCTACTATATGTATATATATTTGAAGGATTTTTATTCATTTGTTTGAGAGAGAAAGAGAGAGCAATTGGGGGTGAGGAGCATGGGGAAGAAGAGGGAAAGCAGACTCCGTGCTGAGCACAGAGCCCCATGCAGCTGGATCCCAGGACCCGGAGATCATGATCATGACCTGAGTGGAAACCAAGAGTTGCTCAACCCACTGAGCCACCCAGACACCCCTCTTTCTAAAATATTTTTAAATTCTTCTTCACCAGATGCTTTGCTAGAAGTTTTGTTTGTTTGTTTGTTTGTTTTAGCAGGCTCCATTGGACTCCAGCAAGGAGTCCAATGCAGGGCTCCGACTCAGCACCCTGAGATCAAGACCTGAGCCAAGGTCAAGAGTCGGACACTTAGCCAACTGAGCCACGCAGTCGCCTCTAGAAGTTTAATGTAATTCTAAAAATTGTAATTCTTTGAGCAAGAGCAATGTAGGTAGTGTAAGCATAGTAAATCCCAGGTAATACCTACATTGTAACACACTCATCACATACATCTAGTACTTTCATGCTTTCCTCTTCACTTTCTTTACTGTATGCCATAAATTTATTAGGTCTTTATGTTTTTGAATGGCTTAGGGACTAGTTTATCCACATGTTCCCTAGCCCACACACATAGCCTGGCTGGCCAAGGCCAGGCACTTTATAAAAGGGGGAAAGGCCTTGTGGAAAGAAAAACAGGGGCACCAATTGTCCAAACCCCTCTCTTGTTCCGTAGCAGGGTCCTCTCATGGTTGGGGCTTCTCCCTCATTCTACCAAAGGGAGTGATCATGGGCATTGACTCAGATACGAGGGCTTCTCTGATGGCAAGGAGCAGAGTGGAAAGGGGTCTCTGAGCTTCCTTTGAGGATTGGAAGAAAAACTCCAATCCCTGGCTGGGGCAACATCTGTGGACTCCCCACCACCCCTACCTGCAGGCAGGTTGCTCCTGACCCACTCATTCCAAAAAGCAGGGCTTATTTTTTCATTTCTTCAGAAAATCTAACCAGAGGGATTGGGATTTAAATTTTGTTGGCTGAACTATACCTCTTTTTATGAGAATCTAAGAATTTTTCTGGTGGGTTTTAATGACCAGAATAAAGTTAGCTATGATTATTCTTGTGATTAGGAGTTACTATGGACTAAGTTGTGTTTACCCAAAATTCATATGTTGAAGCCCTAATATCTACGGTGACTGTTTCTGGGGGATAGGGCCTCCAAGGAGATAATTAAGGTGAAATGAGGTCGGAAGGGTGAGCCCTAATCTGATAGGACTGTGGCTTTATAAGAAGAGGAAGAGATCTCTGTCTCTCTCTTCACCATGTGAGGACACAATGAGAAGGTGGCCTTCTGTACCCTCGAAGAGCGCTCTTACCAGACACCAATCCTGCTGGCACGTTGATCGGGAACTTCCGATCTCCAGCACTATGAGAAAATCAAATTCTCTTGCTTGAGTTATTCCGTCTATGGTATTTTGTTACTGTGGCCTGAGCTGACTGATAGAGGAGCCTAGGCTCTGGATCCTGATGCTTATTGAATCCTGGCTCTTTTACTTCCCTGGATGTGTAGCTTTGAGCAGGCACTTGCCCTCTCTGTGCCTCTCTGTTACTCCTCTGTGAACTGGGGAAAATAATATTCCCTATTACCTAGGGCTCTTTGGAGAATTAAGTGATTCAGCATTTCCATAGCACTTATATGGTAAGCGCAAAATAAATGGACCATTCTGATTACAAACCCCAAACATACTTAATGTGTACCTGCAAACATTGTCAAGTCATTTTGCCCAACAACAGAGTCCAAAGTCACAATTTTCTTTGGGAAATTCTCCATATGCAGGACATACTTTTCCTTTATTCTTTAGGATGGGTTAATCCACAATGATACTTTAAGAAACTTTATTTAGGGAATCAGTCTCCTCTGATAGATGAAAGCTTCAGGAGGACAGAAACTCTTATTTTTCTTTGTAACCCACATAGTCCCTTAAGAAAACATTCAATACTTGTTGGTTGAAGGAAGAAAGGCTGATGGGAGAAATGGAGGGAAGGGGAAGGGAAGGATGCAGAATATTTTATGGAATTCCTAAAAAATCTCCAGATATTCAAAATACATGAATTTAGGCTGACATTAAAGCATATGTACATCTCATGTAGAACGCACAGCGAGGGAACAAAATGGCAAGAGCGCAAGCTAAAGAAAAACCACCACCAAATTTGCATTTTCATAATTCAGCCTTAAATATAACTTTGTGTCACTAAATTAGTGCCTTACTTCCTACCAGTAATGGTCAGGTAGGAAATCATCAGACTGTTTTTGTGATTACCATGATACTTAGATAACGTCTTTTTAGATAAAATGTAATCATTACAAAAGAATTACTCACTGTGTCCATATTAAAAAATAGAAATACTGTATCATAACAAAAACTATGTTCCTAGCATTTCAAAATGTCAAAGTACAAAAGTATATTGAGGCAGATTTCTACTGGGAACTTCCATTTGGTTTTCAAAATAATAATACTATCTATTGATATTGTGTAAAAACTTGCATGAACGATTTACATTCTGTTTAGGATTTCAAAATACTTCAATATATTCCGGTAAATGTCCATTAGGAACTCCTGTTTCATTTTCAGAATAGCAACTGCAGTGATTCAGACTCTACACAAGTTTGCACTGCACTACTGCTTACCTTCTAATGCTTTATTCACAGAGACTGAGAACTTATCCCAAGAAGGTGGCCCTGACATTCAAGAGGCAGTTCTTTTAGCCACAGGTCAGCCAGGTCCAGAGAGAGAGGGCTGGGACAAGGAGAGTGATTCGCTGGAATCGTCTTTGGTAGAGTCTTCTGCTGTTTCAGGTATTTGGAACCTGCACATAGTGTCCATATTTTGCTAATTGCCACTTCCTGAAAAATCAGTTGGTGCATTGGTGACGTCGGGATCTGTGAAACACAGGGAGAAAATTTGGGCCTTGGGGTTTTGTGAGCATTCTTATTAAAATTCATATTTCTAGAAACGTTTAAATTAAAAGAATTCTTTGTGGCTAAAAATGTTTTTCAAAACTAATGCAATACTAATATGTTATGAATAGGAACACATTTGGTTCTAATTTTACTTTATAAGAAGATACCCATGGTCTTTGTGATGTGATAAGTATTATAAGCATACCCTATATTTCATAGTTTTCAAAGTACCTTCAAATATATGAATTAGTTTGATTCATCCCAAGCTCCGAGGATTAAAAAGGCCATTCGTTATCTTTTCTTTATTTTATAGACTGGCATGTCTCAGGGAGGTTCAGCTGGGTTGTAGAGACCAGAAGCAAGTCTGTAGCAAAGAGGATGACAGGTGCTAAACTGGGGTTGGCTTGATTTGCAGTAACTAAGTGGTGAGCAAACTATTTACCACCATGACCACCTTTTTTGATACAAAACATTCCTGGAAGGATCAAACTAATTTAATCACATTCCCCTCCCTAATTTACTGGATAGGAAAATCCTCTCTTCTTCTCTCCCCACCAAAGGGCCACATTCTATTTTCGCAAGAAATAGTCATTTAAAAGAAACAATTTTTTAAAAATCTGTGCTGTGCTGGTAAATGTTTAAGAAGTAACTCTACAGGGGAAAGAAAGGAGGTACTGAGCTGTAGCATTTGCCAGCCTTCAGGATGCAAATGCTCCCACTGAAGCTGATGTCAAACCTCCAACCTGATGTCCCTGAGTTGGAAAGAGAGAAGCACTAGGTCACCATTGTGTTAGCATTTCTGCTATGCAGATACAGTGGGCATTAACAGCCTCAATGACAGAGATAATAGCAAAATCCAGAAACACGATTAGGAAGTGATGAGTTTGAGTATTCATTACCTATGCTTTCATATAATTTATCTAACTATAGATCAATATGATTTAATTTTTAAAATGGATGTGTTTAACCTGCTCACAAATTCCTGAAAATCTAACAATTGGCTTTTGTGAGCCGATAGAAGCTGACTCCATCACACCACTGCAAAGTTTACTACTTTCTTCTCTCCCCTTTTTTTTTTTTAAGTCATCTCTACCTCCAGTGTGGGGCTCAAACTCACAACCCTGAGATCAAGAGTCACATGCTCCACTGACTGAGCCAGCCAGGCGCTTCCAAAGTTTACCATTTTCTACTCAGAAAAGTAGTGTAGCTGCATTGAAGGAAATTTGGAAAATGTGAAAACATACAAAGAAAAAGTCACCCATCCTCCCACAATGTAGATATATTACTCTTAACATTTGGGTATCTATCCTTCTGCTCTTTTTACATAAGTGGATGTTTATACACAACGGCATATCTCCTGTGTTTGTTAGATAGTCTTCTATAGCATGGTTTTTAATGACTTAATAATAGTTCCATCCATTGGATGCTTTATAATTAATAAATCAATCGTTAAATATTTAGGATGTTTAAAAATTTCTACATTGTGAATAACTCTCTTCATATCTATGTTTCAGTTTAATTCTCAAAAACATATTACATAATTGGAACTTCTGGATCCAATGATGTTTACAATCTTAAGACATTTGATACTTAATGTCAAATTTCACTCCAGAAACTTGTACCAATTTAGGTGTCCTTTAGTAGTATAAGAGAGTGCCTATTGCCCTAAAGTCTCTTCCACAAGAACAGGTATTTCTACAAAATATCATTATTTTCAAGCCTTGCCAGTTTGGTATTTTGCTATTTCAATTTTATTTTTTTGATTTCTGGTGGAAAACCCTTTTATAAGTTTATTCTGTTTGTTGTTGTTACTAATTCCCTATCTATTTTTCTATTAGGGTGTTTATATTCTTCCTGCTGATTTATGTGAAGTATTTAAATATATAGGATAGCAATCCTTTGTTATAAATAGTCCCAATATGTTTTATAGTTTGCCAGTTATTCAGGCTTGTGCCTCATTTTTTTGTTTGTTTGTTTGTTTGTTTTATGCAGTGCTTCTGCTGCTTTACTGTGTATATGAATCATCGAGAGGAGTGGGTCTTACTGAAATGCATTCTGATTCAGTAGGTCCTGTGTGGAGGCTGAGATTCTGCCTTTCTCACGGGCTCCCAGGTGATGCTGTATTGCTGGTCCTGGACCACACTTTAAGGAGTGAGGTTTAATATATAGAATAGCAAAAAACCTGAATTCCAGAGGATTTTTTTTTTTCATTTGAGCAGCTACGCTTTCTTTCAGAAATCATGATCTTATAGGAATGCCAAAATCACTATCTGAATGTGGATTTGTCACATTTTAATAATTTTCCTTGGTAGGACACCTGACATCTCTGTGGGGTTACTGGCTGTTTTCTAAATCCACACTAGAAAGAACTGAAGACAGGACTGAGGCTGGAAGATGATCCTGTATCTTGAATGAGGGTTTTTCATCAAAGGTTGCCAGCAATGCATCTCATCAGCCTATAGCTTATGTCTCTGTGGAGGATTCTGAGTCTTAAAGTGAACAAAATTAAAGGCAAAACTTTAAAAATGTTCTTTCTATGAGTTAATGTAAAACTTAAAGTTGCATGTTGTGAAAAAAAAATCTAGATCTTAATAATGGCTTAGAGGACAGAAAGGGTTTTTTTCCCCCTTGTGTTCCCTCTCTCCCATTTGCCCTCTGTTCCTTTCAATTCTTTTCATTTAACAAATATTTGTTTAACTACTACATGCCAGACATGTACTGTTCAGTGTTCAGTACTGCCAAGACAGTGGGGGAACATACGGAGGTGGCTTCTTGCTCCCGTGGAGCTTTCAACTGACGGGCATGTCAGTCAACCAGTAGTCACTGCATAGTCACCGTAAGTGCTGGTAACATTCATACAGTAAATGCAAAGGACAGCCAATTAAAATATATATACTAGTCTGAGAACATTTGGAAGTATAGTACACTGTACAGTGATAAGGACCCCACCCAATTCACAGACTTGAATGACCTTCTGGTCTGTAGGATCCTCATGATGTCTGGACTCATGATTCCCTGTGGACTTGAGAGCCAGACAGACCAATCCATTCTGGCCCTTTTCAGAGCAATAACAAAAGGTAACTTATTTATGAAAATGTAGTTCCTTTGCTTTAGGTCTTAGACACCACTGCTGATAGATGCTATGGGTCATTCCAAGTGTTTGTCTATTTCCTTACTGCTCTCTGGAACTAAGAATTACAGATATAAATAACTTGTAAAGTACCATTAGCCCAAGAAAGTTACTGGTGTCCTTTTGATTGAAGTTTTTATTGCAGAAGTTACCGTAGAAGGATTTTGCCCCCACAGGCATTCTTTCATAGAATTAACAGTCAAAATAAAGGGGCAAGTATCCCATAGTCTCTACTATCATTTGCATATCTTACCGGTATTGATAATGTATAATCCTTATTTTGAATTCTAATATATAGGGTTAAGATTTCATATACAGCTCAAATATAGTCAATGCAACCAAAGTAGCATTGAAAGAAACTTATTGCTTAAGCTGCACACATTCTATAAATATGAATTTTCATATGCAGAAGGAAAAAAATGTAACTCGAATTATTTCTAATTTTAAATTGACTCCTCTAATTTTTATTTCTGAACCAGTTTCTAAAATATTTTTTTCAGTGCATAATAGTCTTGGTGCATACAAGTGGTAATTATTTATAGTTTCAATGCAAAGATTCCTTATATATTGTTTTTTAGCCCCTTTGACTCCTTAACACACATGATGGATAAGATACACTACCACTAGTAACAGTCGCCTGCCCTGAAAGCAATTTTAAACCCATTTCTCCTTCACTCTTGGGGTGATATATCAGGATTCCCTAGGAGGCGGCTCTGGAGAGTGCTTTTGTCATGCCTCCAACCGGGGGACTGATATTTGTTCTTCCTTCCTCCTTCCAACTACTTCCCATTAAAAAGTGATTAATAATGAAGATACACCAATTTTTAAGACTTGCCTTCTTCTAAATTAACACAATAATTTCTGAAGGATGTTTGAATAGTTCTCAGACAGTTAGTAGAATTTTAATGCTGGATGTTATAGTTCTGCTTTCTAAAGTCACTGGTCATCTCTTATAACAAGAAAATATTGGAAATCTGTGCTGTTTCTCTAGACCACACCTCCCTAGAAAACATCAGAGGGACCAAAAAAGCCACATTCATTTTCTTCTGTTGAAAATAATTTTAGGAAATACGAGGTTATCTGGATCATTTTAACTCTGTATGCTTACAGTAGAATTGATTGTACAATCATTTTTAATTTAATAATCTATTATTGCTTTCTCAAAAACAAGTAGTTGTTTTACACCAACTTTTACATTACACTATTTTAGGAATCAATGCCTTAGAATAAAAGGAAAGCAAAGCAAATGAGATTCAAAACAAAATAAAATTTTTATTTGCAGTGAACTTACTTTGATGAAGAGTTTCCCATAAAATCTCCCAGACTTCTTTTATCCTTCTATGTTGGATCTTCCTGTTATGAAACGAGAAAGTGCAAGTACCTGAGGTTGGCCAGCAGAGGGCGCTTTTACATTATAAAGAGAATGGAATTCACTGTTCCAGTGTGGAAGATTATAATGTAACTGTAGAGTGTGCCATATGTGAATATACAGTGCGCATGACTGTGAACGCATGTGTATATTTTGATTTATATATTCGTTCACGTGAAGATTTTAAAATTCCACCCCAGCTAATGAGCTTACCAACCTGCTTGTTTTCAGACTTTAATACCTTCTTTTTCATATTCCCCCATATGTTCCACTCCTTAGGTTTATCCGGTGACATTATGCTTTGGAATATATTGTGGATATATTTTGCATAGATCATGTTCTGTAGGAGGGGTTTAAAAATTGACCTTTATAAAACAGCCTCCTTCTCCCTGGCCC